GGGTGCTAATGTATATTGTGTATATTATCACCAAATGAGGATGTTAGAGTTTATATAGATAGATAGATAGATAGATACAGTATATACACACACATGCCCGGTATGGCCTGCGGACCGGTGCTTGGGGAGTACTGGATTAACTGCTTCATGTGCCAATAATGATAACATGTATGTAACCTGATAACATGATAAATTGTCCATTGTACTAACCGCTGTCCCTGAAAGGGTTATACAACTCAAATAATTACTACTGTTTTCTATATTCTGCAATTTTAGAAGTAAATACATCATACTCGACATTACACAAGTTCACAGGGTTTAATAGGAAGAGTCTTCTGGATAAGATTAGCTTCAACTGTTGTGTCTGTACTGCTAATAAACTGATTACAAACTTTTCCCTTTGCAGAAAGAATCAAGCTTAAGGTCTGTATTCAGCAAAAATAATCTTCCTTTGTGTGTCAACTGTGTGTCAACTTTACCTGATGAAGATAATATGACGGATGGACGCTGGGTGACCCACACCACCACGCAGATGGAAGTCAAAATTGCTGCTGATGTCACAAAGTTCTAAAAATGAAACACAGCCTGATATCCAAAAATAAGCTTTCTATCCTTGTGTCCTTTCGATCTCCCGTCACACGCACACACACATGCTGTCTGTCACTGTCAAAACACGCACTATGCGAAATTCATGTGCCATGTGGCCATCACATTGCTGACGCACACTGTTAAACTGCTGCTGCTGCTGCTGCTGTTGGTCTCCTCCCTCTCAATCTCTTGGTTTACTTTTGGTCTTTCGCGTGCACGCACACGCACACACGCACGCACGCGCACACACGCACGCACACACGCACACACACACACACACGCACGCACACACACACACACACACACACACACGCACACACACGCACGCACACACACACACACACATGCACACACACTCACTCATATGAATACATGGAACCTCAACTCTCCCAGCTTTCCTGTCCGGTTCGCCTCGCCCCAAAATGGGGACACAAGGCATTCATTCTTCTGAATAAAGAGGTCCTGTGTTCATTAAAAAAAAAGTTGTCCTCCACCGAGACTCAGGTCTGAGGTAAGTTTTTAAAACAAATCGGCAAGTTACAGTCAGAGAGCAGATTTTCACTGTACAACACTTTCAGCTTTTTTTTTCTTGATTCTTGGTGTGCTCAGCTATCAGAAAACCTGCTTCAATTCTGGAAGATGGCTCATCAAACAGTATAGACTAGAGAACATTTACAATATTACCGGTTTATCTTCGGGTTGTCTCACAGGCAATGATGGCTAATGCCAGAATCTTAGTATCTCCTTCAGTTGCAGCTATATTGTTTACCACCAGCAGCAGCAGTCTATAAATACAGTTGAGTTGAGTTGAGTTGAGGAACAGTCAAGGTGTGTAGAACGTAACCAGGAGTGCTGTAGTCCTTTATCACCATTTATAGACTGTTCAATAGAGCATTGCTATTCATTATAAACTTGCACTGACAGTGTACAAAGCTAAAATGCCGTCGGGGTTTGCCAATGAGAATATATCTGGACAATTAGAACACGGTCGACCAATGGACGAAAGTGTGCATGAAAAATGTCTTCGATGGCCTCCTAAACTGAATGTGTTATGTATGTGCTAATGAAGCCTAGCATGCTTGCAACTGTATCTTTGTGCAAATTTGAAAATAATATTTTGGGCTATTTTGGTCCGCCCTCGTCAGAATGAACTAAAATAGAATGTGCACTGGTGTTCCTTTATTTTGACCAGACCGCTCTTTTGACTCTCCACAGTGTGCTGAAGTTGGCCGCTGTTACGTGCATGAAAAGCTTGAATAATATGCTTACATGCTTAACATTCCTTTCAGAGTGGGTGGGATTTAAGTTAAAGTAAACACATCCGTGTTCCACTCAGATCACACAGCTGCAGCAGAAATGACCCTGACTGGCTGAGTGACCATGCAAAACATCCAAAACAATATGTTAATACAGTGGAACCTTCAAGGTAAAACACAATACGTTCCACCGCTCTGGTTGACCTCCTGTTTGTTCAGAATTATTTCCACAGGAAATAATGATAATAGTAATATCGGAGAGGGTCAAACTGTCACTATCATAAAACCTTTATCAACACTGGCATTCATGTCATTTGGTAAAAACCTAACCACTGTTCCTACTAAGATGTTAAAGAAAAACACTCGGGCTTGACTTTAATGACATTTGACTTTAACAAGGCCATTCACATCACAGATCAGATGTTTTAAGATTCTAAATTGCATCACAAGTGTATAAGGAAGTTCATTATCGTAAAATAAAATACAAAATAAATACTGGCCGATAATTCAGTATCAATTTGTATCGCAATAGACACGTGATTGATAGCAATAGAAAATGCCTTCGATAAAATCTTGTAGGTATCACGCAGCCCAGTCCAAACAGGAAGTAGCTAAACCAGCGAAGAAGTAGTGCACATACTCAGACGGAACAAGAATGTGGCATAAATGCATTCAAATAAATTATCAATTGACTCAGTACAACTCTTTCAATAAGATGTTATTGTGCAGGCTAACCTGATTAAACACACCCGAATGGATACATGCCACAAATAAAGGAGTTCCAAGTCCTTAACGTGCCACAGCGCCAAGTGTTAGCCATGTCAGACCCTCAGCATCGGAGGTTAGTAAAACGTGAATAGACTGCGGCAAGAATGAGTTGCGAAAAGGATAAAGTAATCCTAAGACGGTTGGTCAATGCTAATGCGTGCAGTGCAAGAGAGTATTAGTGCATTAGTGAATGAAGGTTAATGTAACACTCAATGATGCTGCTTTGGGGTAGCAAATAAGCATTTATAATGCCCTGGTGGGAGAGCAACTCTGCACATTTCATGACATTTCAGTGTACACAAAAAACAGTGAATTGTTTTTTTCTCATTTTAACCCTTTCATGCCCCCTGTAACCTGATAAACTAAGAGGCTGTCCACTGTAGTAACCGCTGTCCCTGAAAGGGTTAAATTGGTAAAATGCTACCAAGCACGGTCTGTTTGTTTAAGTTTGTTCGGTTTGTTTGTTTAAAGGCGTTTGTTTAATCCTTCAGTTGACAATTTTATATGACTTTTTCAAAGCTGCGTTGACCTATGGTTAAAAGTTCATCGGTATACATTGAAATAAAATGTCCGCAATTCAGCCTTTTACTTTGGGCCCTTATTTTCATTAGTGAAAAAGAAAGAAAAAAAATCAATAAATGTCAATATCAACCAATATGAAATACTTATATCATGATTTACTTTTCGGTCATAACGCTAAGCTCTGATTCCAAGTGACAATTTGTATGGTTGACGCTGGAGCCTCACAATCATTACCCCTGACCTTACCTATAGTAACAGGAATAGATACCAACTGTGTGGTGAAGAAAGGAAATACCTGAATTATTTTGGGATCCTAAAATGCATATCTAGTCGAGAAATAATTTAAGTCACTCTTGACATTTTCTGAGAAAATCTACCCCAAAAGACAACCAAAAACCTGGACTTCAAGTTATCATCATGTGCCATCACGAAACCCATCGAGATTGCAGCTGAGTAAGCATCTTAAAGTTGCTTTTTCGATGGCGTTGTGGTTTTTTTTTTTGTGTAAAATGCCAGCATACACTGGTCCATTCTTGGCAAAATTCCCCAATGATCAGTGTAGCACAGTGGCAGTGTGTGGCACAAGCGTTACCATATTTGGCGCCGGTTGCCAAACGACCATGTAGTACGTTAGTGTTTTTCCAGCCTGTTGGCTTTCCCTGCTGGTCTGGAAATAAGGTCAGCAATATGGCAGTATGTTTGCCTCACCATTCTAACAGAAAGCCTTGGCTTTTTCTGTGATAAGGAGACGAGCTCTCGCTTAAAAAAATGACATGGGCCCCATCCTTTCCTAATGCTTCATGAAGATTGCTTTCAAGGTTGTACTTCAGGCTGAGCATTGAGCAGTTTGACAGCCCATGTGCTATGCTACGTTATATTTGAAAAAAAAAGAAAAAGCAAGAAAAAAGGTTTTAAAAAAGTAGCTATGTCCCACAATGGGGCTACTTCGCCATCTTTAGTCTACTTTGCTGCTACAATTTGCCTGGATTCCCCTATGATTCCACATTGTGTATGAATGCCAAAGGTTTTATCGCTCCATACCATTTGTGTAAAGTGCTCGTGTGCATATTTCTGTGCCCATGCGTCATATAACATCAGTTTATGTAAGCGTGTTATTCAGGCTTCGATGCTAGCTAATGCTATTTATAAATCGTATGTGAAGATGCAAAGGTGGTTTTGTTTGTGTTGAATATTTTAACTGCTGAATACAGTCATTTATGTAACATGGGGTGGTGAATGTACAGTATAAATGCTAGAACCATGCCACTGACGCTTTATGATCCCGTTCCATTATTCAGTGCATGACTACCCTCTTATGGTGTCTATACCTAGTTGGAAATTCCGTTTGTGGCGGAGGCATCACTTATTTGTTTCTTATTCTTTGCGGCAGGGCTCGGTCCCTATACTGTAGAGAACTATGAATCTCGGTCAGTGGTCCCCAAAACCGGGGTGCAGACTGGAAACGGTCGGTGGGTCATTTGGTACCGGGCCGCACAGAAAGAATCAATAACTTACATAACACCAACTTACTTTTGGGGGTGGGGGAAGCTGAAAGATGTTTTATTTTGAAATTTTACTGGATTCTCTTTTACATCCGTCTACACTGTAGACGGTGACATACTGTAGACTCTACAGTATGTCACTCTTGATGCAGACAAAAGCGTGCTTCTCGGTCATGTGATAGGTTACCACTAAAATGAAACCCCAGAGCTAGCAAAATGAGTAAAAAACAAACGTCTTCGGAAAGTTTCTTTGGGAAGGGGAAAATGCCCAACCAGGAGATTTTCAAGAAAAAATAAAGGCTACACTTAACAGACAGTATCAGGAGTCCTACTTAAAATACAGATTTTTCTCAATGGGAGATTCCCATGCACCAAGCCCACTCCAAATAATATGCAGCGATGGTAAGTCAAATTTTTCATGCACTTTGTATTTGCGGCGTATCTTATTTTGAAGGTACGTTTAAACATTACCATAGCGACGAGAGAGCATTGCAGCCAGATAGGACGTTGCTCGTGTCATGATTCCTGTTTATTATTATGTTTCGAAAATATCATGCAGGTATCATATTATTTTGTTGTATTTATCCGCCACACCTTAAAGGCCAGTCCCTGAAAATATTGTCTGACATTAAACCGGTCCGTGGAGCAAAAAAAGGTTGGGGACCGCTGATCTAGGTAATTCAGTGACGGTAGCAAGTAGATTGTTCGCTCCACTTCCTGCTCCATGTCAAGGTCAGCTTTGTTCAGATTGCAGTTTTGATTCTGAATGTGGGGACAGGATTCTGCAGCTGCACACTACAAAGGGCAGCTTTATTCGAGTGGGTTGAAGGGCCATCAGTGACCCTGAAATCCTGAACAATCTTTGACTTGCTTTATCACATTTTTTTTTTTCAAATAAATTCATATCTTTGACATGACAATCTCCAGAATGGTGAAAAATGTCATTCGGCCCTTTCGTGTTTCTATTTTTCGAGTAAAAAGTTAGGACACGACTGGCACAGAGAAATCAAGAGGTGGTTCTGGTCTGCATGTTAGTGATGACGTGGCAAGACACAAGACCAGCAGTGTATTCATGAATGTGATTCAAGGCAACTACAAAGCAGTGGTGGCGGGCGAGCTAAAGTCCTCATTTTATGTGAATACACGTATTTAAACTTTGCATAAACAGACATTTGAGAAACACTTTTCATCTTTAATGAAAAACATATTTGGTTGTGCTCCCCCTCGCACCTCATCAACAGCACCCACACGAGCAATCAAATCCCACCGCCTTCACAGAGACATGCAGCATTGCATAACCTGAGGGCAGAGCTTAGGGAAGCACTCATTAGCAGCATCAAAGGCCCGAATGTCTGGCGACGTTATACTTTCCAATTAGATTGGGGAATATCATTAAAGTAAAAAGTGGGGTGAACAACTTTAGAGAAATGGGTCATCATCTGGATTGGTTTAAGATACCGTTTTCACACTTGATGGGTGGTGGATCAGGCTACCACATGTTGGCCCTCGACATCCCTCACCAAGACACTTGAGGGGGCATTCAGCATGAAGTGGCAGCTCTGATCATGCAGCCCACAATGTGCCACCAGAGAGATGTTTTATTCAACACTATTGTTGAGTGGCGGTCTATTCCAACAATGGCTTCCCAGTCAACCTTTATGTCACGCTCTGTCATTCCATTGAAAATTAGACTCCTATTATTTTATTTATGTCGTTAGTTTAATTTCTGGTTTTGGGAGAGAATGGTGATGGTGGTTTTTGTTTAGATGTCGGGCGGAAGAACACTGGCATCACCTAGTGTCGAAAGCTGCATCCTGCAGAGAACCATGAGCAGACAAAGCTCAGTGTTTTTCAAACTTTTTTGAGCCAAGGCACACTTCTTTCATTGAAAAAATCTCGCGGCACACCACTAGCTGAAAATGTGACAAAAAACGCTTATTTTAACAATTAACGTGTTATATTGTTACTATGACCGTTTTTAACATTGAAGAATGACGTTATAACAGCTTGACTTGGAATCAAATGAGCACAAAAAAAAAGTATTTTATAATCTTTCATATTTATTGTTTCACTGTCGTCCTGCATTCATGCGGCACAATTCGCTTGTCTGTAGTGGGCGAAACACAAGGCAATTGGCTAGCTGTTGCTGCTTTCTAGCGGTATGGAAGGGTACTACACGATTACTTTCTGGGCGAGAGACCGCACAGGCATACAAATTGGATATTTTCCCGCGGCACACCTGACAATGTCTCGCGGCACCAGTGTGCCGCGGCACAGGGTTTGAAAAACACTGGACTAAGGCAATCCTCTTCTGGTTTTTTGTGGAGGGTTCAGACTTGAGGGAGCTTCTCACTTAAATCGATGTAACCCGGTTCATCATATTATCAAAAAAATACATTCCTGTCACAGATTGATATTAACAGCCGCCAAACACAAGTGAATTCCACAAGTGACTGGTAACACAGCTCCTCCCATGGGCCACTTTGGTGGCTTGAATTGTACGGTATATGAATATTCAATTGTTTTTTTTTTTTTTTTTTTTTTTTTAAAAGGCTATCGGCAATTATTGTTGAAGGAAATATATTATTTACAATTCAAGAGCCTAAAACGGGCAGCATGACTGGTTAGCACTTCCCCATCACAGTGCAGAGGTTCAGGGTTCAATTCCAGTTCCGGGACTTCCCGTGTGGAGTTGGCATGTTCTCCTCGTGCCTGGGTGGGTTTTCTCCGGGTAGACCGGTTTTCTCCCACATTCTAAAAACATGCTTGGCAGGCTGATTGAATGCTCTAAGTCAGTGGTTCTTAACCTTGTTAGAGGTACCGAACCCAACCAGTTAATGTGCACATTCATCGAACCCTTCATTACTGGAAAAATAAAAATCAGATTCAAGAAGTGTTCCTTCAGTTTTGCCGGTGCGAGACTAGAGTTACTCAACATGGCATGACAAATCATGCAGATAGGATGCTGAGTCCCATCACGTTCCGTGATGCATGTGAATCCATGTAGTACATATTCGTCCGACCACTTTCTTTGTTTGCTCAACATAGTTAGCATATATTAAAACATTCTAAAAAAAAAAATCACACGACATACCATCACGACAGTCACATGTTGACAACTGAGCAAACTAAATTTCCCGCAGCACTGATTGAACAAGCAATCTGATGTGATCATCTGCAGCCAGTGATGGCCAAGCGGGCGTGTCATAATTAATTGACATGTTGAGTCGAGTGTTGTCTTAACCTCCATGGCAGAGGCTCCGTTGAAACCCTGAGACCGATTCACCGAACCCCTGGGGTTCGATCAAACCCAGGTAAAGAACCACTGCTCTAAATTGTCCCTTGGTGTGATTGTGAGTGTGAATGCTTGTTTGTCTCTGTGTGCCCTGCGATTGGCTGGTAACCCTTTCAGGGTGTCCCCCACCTACTGCCCGAAGCAACAGTGTGAATGTAAGCATGATTGGCTGTCTGTATGTGCCCTGTCAGTGACTGGCGACCAATCCAGAGAAGTCTGCCTTCCCTGTAGCCCAAAGCCAGCTGGGATAGGCTCCAGCACGTCCGCGATCCTCATGAGGATGAGCGGATTAGAAAATGGATGGATGGAGCCTGAAATATTTATCAGTTTTCCAATCGTCTGAAAATATTGCTTGAGAAGCTTCGTTCACGTGATTGTGCATGCGCAGTGCCGCATGTGGCTCGAGAAGAGGAGCATTTGACCTCATCAGAAGTCTGAGGATAGCTTTGATTTTATTTTTATTTCTGGATGGTACACCGGCGCGTGATAAGAAGAATAGCCATACTTTCATTGTCACGGTGACCTCTACTCACCTACTTTAGTGGCCTGTGTTATTAACCCTTTCAGGGACAACGGGTACAATGACTGGGGACCAGTCCGGAGAAGTCTGCCTTTAGCCCGAAGCCAGCTGGGATAGGCTGCAGCTCAGGATGCAGAAAATGGATGAGTATTGCTAAAATTGTTATTTATTTATTTATTTATTTATTTATTTATTTTTCAATTGGTGTGTTTGAAAAGAAAAACAAAAATATTTTATAAACTATTTCTCGGTGCTTTCTGAATGGAAAATGGTTTGGAAGCACAAACTAACAATTGTGCAGAGGACACCGTATGAAATGATCTAAAAGTGGATCTTGGCAGACAGAATGGAACAGGGCAGCGTGAGAAGAAAAAGCTGCGAGAAAGCAGTTTGATGCAAAGCCTACTTGTCGCTGTTTGAACGGGTACTGAAAGAAAATTCCACACAGGCATACAGAATTCTAGCCTCAGAGGCTGTTGATTTTCGGACATACTCTTCTCTGTACAGATGCTTTCAACACATGCTTTAAGATGCTTTCTTTTTTTTTTTTTTTTTAACAGATGGTTTAACTAATACTTTACAATGTGTTCCACATTGTTAGGCATAATGTTGCTTTTGTTCCGAACTGTACAGAGACAATATTTTGGGGATCAACAACAATTAGAATAGCAAAGCTTGCTGTAAATACTTATTTAGAGTTTATTGGACAAAACCGCTATGATGATGACTGTTTTGCATTTGGTTTTTGTATCTCTCCCCCCCCCCACCACACATACACACATAATTTTATAATAATTTCACTTGCATTTTGTAATTAATTTGCATTTATTCTTCTCGTTTTGGAAACGAATTGATATCAATCATCAAAACAGATTGAAGAAACAACATAAGTGAATAACTTCCCCAGAAAAAAAACATTTTCATTTAACTGGCAAACGTATCATACTTTGGAATAAAAATATAAAAGTTTCCACTTTTCTCGGATGACTTTAAATGAAGTCAATTGTCATGCTGAATCATGTTCTCTGTTATAATTCATCCCTACTAGCTTGACGGGGTTGAGGTCAGGGCTTTGTGTGCGCCAGTCATGTTTCACCACACCAAATCCATTCACCATAGGTATAAAATTGTCTAAAAAGAGTTTGGGTGTGGTGACAATGACTGTATTCGTTATATCTTGCTCTGTGTTTCATGCACTGTACTGTTGATAGAAAAGTAAATATTTTGTTTACAGCCTCCTTTTTAAGGGTGGCTGCCATTATCCCTCATCCTCTCTATGTGACACACCTCTTGGGGAAAGTGTGACCTCTGCGTGTACAAAAGGAACAGCTGACAACAACAGGTGAAAGTGGGAACAACTTAAAAAAAACATGAAGCGACAGCTTGCACTCTGATTTTCAGCGTGTATGTCTCACTTCTAAGAGAACTTAATGGTCCCACATGACAAGAGCTTGATGGCCGAGATCCTTACTGTGATAATGAATCTCATGCGTCCCAGCTGTGAAACCCCTGTGGTGGCGATCTATCAAATCCACCAAAACTTCGGATTCTTTCGTGAAGCTTTTCTTATGTCAAGTCTCACAAATACCGTCTATACATTGCTAACATAATGACAACAGCTATTCCACATATTATCCATCCATTTCCTCATCCGCTTCTCCTCACGAAGGTCACTGGCATGCTTGAGCCTATCCCAGCTGTCTTCGGGCAGTAGGCGGGGGACACTCTGAACTGGTTGCCAGCCAATCGCAGGGCACACATAAACGAACAATCATTCACGCTCACGCACGCACCTAGGGACAATTTAGAGTGTTCAATCAGCCTGCCATGCGTGTTTTTGGAATGTGGGAGGAAATCAGAGTACCCACGCGGGCCCGTGGAGAACATGCAAACTCCACGCAAGCAGTCCGGAACTGGAATTGAACCCAACACTTCTGCACTGTGAGGTGTCGGGTTCACCATTCCACATATTAATTGAATATAAAGGCCACGGGAAAGGGATCGATTTTTTTCAAGAAGACGTTGAGGGCAGCAAAAACACAGAGCGCAGCTGCCAAGCGGAGACTGTGCAGCCAGGTAAGCGAACGTTCCCCACCCCAAAGTTACGATGTTAAATCTGTTTTCAGTTGCAGAATGATTAAAAGCTGGAACGGAGCAATGATACTGTCTTGTCCAGGGAAGCCAAGACAACAAGTATTATAAAAAAATGCTGAGTTTTATTTGAAAAAAAAAAACACGGAGAGACACCGTTCGCAGATCTGTCAAGGGAGCCCCCCCCCTCCCCCCCGCGCGTCTTGCGCTCTCGTTTTATCTTGTTGGGAGGTGGTGATGGTCAGCACAATCAGCATTATGAGCAGCTACACAGAATGCACACTAGTGCATGAGCAGGCAACTTTGCTTACCCGCAAAATAACTGGTCAGCATTCAAAGGTACGGTCAGCATTCAAAGGTACAAACAGTTACTTATATTTTTTGCCCTGTTAGATGTTAAATTTTCATTACAATATACAGATCCAGGACGGACGGGAGCCTGATGATGCATGTTGGTAAATGCAAAGTCATAAGTAGTGTCTAATGCTTTCAGAAATATTTGACCAAAAGAAGAAAGTACTGTATCCACCCTTTCAGGGACAGCGGTTACTACAGTGGACAGCTTGTCGTGTTATCAGGTTACAGGGTGCCTGAAAGTTTTAATAGTGATACACAGTATATCGAGACAATGACAAATGATGATGTATCCAATATGCACAGTGTATGAAACTAACTCAATGCTATCGTTATGCCTAAAATGTAGGCATTGAATTCATCATTAAAAATTGAAGAGCAATTAAAGACAATATAACAACCAATATTGAAAAGATACTGTACATACAACAGTGTATCTATCAACAGATAGTATGAATACTTATATCTGAGCATTCCCACTTGCACGGAGGTGTATGCACAAAAAGTGCCCGTGGGTGCACGTTTCTTACATTTTTGATTCAGCACCTCAAGTTGTTCCAAGTCAGAAGCTACGTGAACTCTCGTTCCTGTCCTTGTGCTCAACTGTAATTATCGCCTTAGTGCCACTGGCCAGACTGAGCAGTTTTTCCTTTGAACTGCATGGCCAGCAGGACCGCTAATGAAGAGCCAACAAGCGCCAAGTCAGCTTCGCTCTGTCACATTCTGAGTGGGTTTTTTTTTTCCCCGAGGTTACTGATGCTTGTGACTTTCAAGAGGATTAAGATCTTTCACATGGACCAAGATAGAGGAACGGCTCTATTGATGATCTTCCGAGTCATCTCATTCAAGAGCAGTATTTGCTGACCTTTACTGAGCCAAGACACGTATTTTACATTAGAAAAGATTCTCACGGCACGCAACCAAACAAAAATGTCACAAAATGTCAATTCTGTAGCTTCTGCCACCCTTCTGGAAGATCATCTAATTGTTCTGCCTGTCACTAGAAGTCGTTGGGATAGATAGCTGGACAAAAATGTATCACACAACTGAGATTTTCTCACAACACACTGCTTGGGAATCACTGCTTGAGAAAACATGTCTTTGTATTTGTTTTAGCCATCAGAGAAGAATTATTAATTTACTTTTAAGTCACACATCACATCTGCCTAGCCATCAATAAAAGTGCTTTTGGAACTTGGAGGGGCAAGTCAATGCACGAGTCGTCCTCAGAAAGTTGTTCTGAATGTAATTTTGTCAACGTACATTTCCTTTAAATTAATTAACAACTGTATATGTGTCGAATAACTTTTTTGGAACTATAAAAAGAAACTGTTTCTCTTGACATCCAAAAACATTGTGAACATTCTCCTACCTTGAATCGTACCTTCTTCAGCATCATCACTAAATCCGATTGAGTAGCCGACAGAACAGACGGGATGGAACCGAACTTTCCCCCTCCCAAGTCTGACCCCACTCACAAGTGGCCCCTGCCCCCGAGTCCAAATAGCGTAGTAGTGGATTGTGTCCTTTGAATTCCAGTCAAAACATGCACTCTGACTCAGCGGCCCCTCCAAAAAGTGTCTTTCCCACTAGCCAAAAACAACAGGGCGGTCCGGCTCACCCCTCTCCCTCTCCCTCCTGTGAGACCCTTTCAAAGCTTATCGTCCTGTTCATTCATTCGGAAAACAGGCACACCCTCTTTTTGTGAGGAGAGGGATGCTAAGCCCCGCCTCTACAACAACACCCAGTCCAAAGTATGGGTGCTCGTAAACTCACTTGAACTCCTCCCCCTCCTCACAACACACACACACACACACACACACACACACACACACACACACACACACACACGGCATCTCCCATCTGTTCGACGACAGCGTCCCAATGGATGTTCCTCATCTTGGCCGTTTATTGTCTGCCTACAATCTGCCCTCACTGATATTATTCGCAGAAGTGTACATATGTGCTGTCATAGCAGAAACAACTGGGAATTTTTGTTGTGAAAGACATGCTTGGTTGACCTACTGTATGACTAATGAGACCGCAAACCAAAGTGGCCAAGCCCTGTCTGCGGTTCGCTGCCAATAAAGCAGCTTATGTTTGGTTGTAGGTGGTACTAATTAACTAATGAGTGCTCAAAACATGCTGGCCTGAGATCTTTTTCAGTGTAGTGGGGGAGCAGGGTGATAATAGTTTGGGAATTTTCATTGTCATTGGTCTTTGTTTCATTTTGGGTTTTTTTTTAAACTTTTTGAGAGTTTTCAAAGCAGGTTTGTTCATCTTTCTTGGTTTTATTTATTGATTTATTTTTGAAAATGATTCATTTTAGTTTAGTTTTTATCAGTTTTAGTATTAGTTTTTGAAAAATTCTGCATTTCTTGTGTGCAAGATTAAAAAAAAACATTCACAGGAAGAATTATGGAGTAAAATCTCAAGAAAAATATTATTTTAAAAACAACAATGCGCAAATCAAATGCCGTTACTGTAAAACAGTACAGTGAGTTTGAGGTACAATAAGTGCAGCGCATAACACTGCTTTTCAACTTTTATTCAATTATAAACTTCTACAGTGAAACTCCTCTAGAACGAAACCTACATGGGCGAAAATACCCCCTTATGTGAAAAAAATCTCCATGCATTAACACAATTCCCATTCTCCTGCCCCCCACCCGCACCCCTCGTGAACACACCACTTGC